TTGAGCATGACCTTGCTAGTGTGTGATATGAGTGCAATTGTGCGATAGTTTGAACATTCCTTGGCATTGCCCTTCTTTGGGATTGGAATGTATACAGACCTTTTCCAATCCTGTGGCCACTGTTGCGTTTTCCAAATTTGCTGCCAAATTGAGTGCAGCACTTTAACAGCATCATCTTCTAAGACTTTGAATAGCTCAGCTGGAATACCATCACCTCCACTAGCTTTGTTGTTAGTAATGCTTTCTAAGGCCCATTTAACTTCACATTCCAGGATGTCTGGCTCGAGGTCAATGATTATACCTTGTCAATGCCTTGTGGCTAATAGCCGCTGATGGACCTCTGCTAGGGTGCCCCTCACCCTAGGAATTTCATTCCTTATCATATTTCAAATAGATAGGAGACAGTGTCCCTGCTTTAGAGGCAATTAAAATTAGTGTTTACACAACAGGAACAGGGAGGTATGAATTGGTACTGAGAAATGTTTTCTTTGTTTTTCAGGATTTAGTAGAAGTTGGTGGAGTGGTATGAGGTTTCTAGTTTTAAACAGAGCATATCTTAAGGGAAGCTAAACTCTTCACTTCCCTGTGCCTCAGGAGCTGAGCCAAACGACATCATACACCTGACACGAGTCAGATCATGGGTGCACAACTTGACTTTCAGTCGATGAACCTCAGGGGATCTCACATCATTTGCTTGGCAGTGTGAGGGAGCGCTCGTGAGTGGAGGGAAGGAGCTTCCAGTTTCCCTCCCGCTTGATTTTTGTCAGTAGGAAAGGCAGGCTGCAAGGACACTTGGAGCTAGAGAAAAGGAGCTTTTCCTCCGCCACTGTTCCTGCTGGAAAAACTGGGCTGGAGGGAAACCAGATGCTTCTTCTCCCCACTCATAGCACCAAGCAAATAAGCACTGTTTAAGATCAAGTTTCCTAAATGTACATTTAACTATGAGTCTGGTTATGCATCTGTGACATGACACATGTTGGGCGCATCATGTAGTTACACAATCGGATCCTGCTTGAGTGGAAGAGCATTTCAAGATCCTTAACTTGTGATGACTGAAAAAAGACAGCAAGATGCTAAAGTAAGGATCAGATATTAGTGTTTTCTGATTGTTAGTATTGAAAATTATTGCAGCATTAATTAGGTATGTTAAAGAACAGACATGATTCAGTTCATATATGAAATTGTCTTTTACTGAGTGAAACCACTGGCCCATCTATCTCATTACTGTTACTCTAAGCCGCTCTCTAGAGATATACCAAGGTCTTCCTCAGCATTTGCTCTCTGGTACCTTTTTCATTAGGGGGCTGCAGTGGCTCAAGTGGTTCAGATGCTGAACTGCAGGCTGGAAAGTCAGTAGTTCAGCAGTTCGAGACCCGAGTGCCGCAAGACAGAGTGAGCTCCCATCTCTGGTCCCAGCTCCTGCTAACCTAGCAGTTCGAAAGCGAGAAATTGCAAGTAGATAAATAGCTACTGCTTCGGTGGGAAGGTAACAGCGTTCCGTGCGCCTTGGCATCTAGTCATGCCAACCACATGACCACGGAAATGTCTTTGGACAGAGCTGGCTCTTCAGCTCGGAAATGGAGATGAGCACCGCATCCCTAGAGTCAGATTCGACTGGCTTTCAAGCAAGGGAAACCTTTACCTTTACCTTTGTCATTGGAGATGTCAGTGATTCAACCAGGGATGTTTTGCAAGCATGGGCTGTACCACGGAGTACGGACCCCAGACTTTGATTAATCATTATCTGACTGCAATAACATAGATACTTACAGAAATATTACAAATTAAATTGATTTTATTTTAAATAATTACTTTAATCAGTTATACGGTATCAGGCAGGCATTTCATGATACATATATTATTGTATGGTGCCTAGTTTTCTTTAGGTGGTAAATAAATAAAATATCTTGGATTTTAGCTGTCTTCAAACCTATAATCTTAGGGCTCCTTATGGCTTTAACTCTGCCTTTCTTCAAATACAATTAATTGATTTCTGGCTGGTGCTTTTAATGTTACAGTTGAGCAGCAGATGATATCTTGAATAAATAATCTGTTGTAAAATGTCCTTCAGTATCTTGAATGACATGTGGACTGATGTGCACAAATAAATGGCCTCTTTAGCATCTGTTAAAATGTTGCAATATCTGTGTTGCATTTTAATGTGCTTTAATTTTCTTCAGTATGTCAAAACTCTTAGAAAGACATTGTTATGTGCATAGTTTGCAGTGCAACACTCTTAATCAGTCACATATGTATTAAATTGTATCTGAGAGAGGAGGCAGATTATTTTACAGGCATTAACCTGTAATTCAGTTCTTCATTTTACAATGGGATGAAATTATCAACTAAAAGGTAAGTTTGTTGACTCTGAACATAGTATTTAAAGCAGTGGTCTTCAACCGATAGATTGCAACTCTCAGGCGGATTATGGGGCCCCATCAGCCAGATCTCAAATCCTTACAGAGTTGCTTCCCCCCACCCCCTCTTTTTGGAAGGATCTACTGTTATTGTGCATACTTAGGACAAGGACACCCCACCTCTTGTATTTCTTTGCAGAGGAGCAGCAAGGTGAGATCACTCAGCAATGGAATGGTTTTTCTTGGTACAGGCAGGTTCAGAGATGCCCCTTCCTACAAAAGCTCTCCTTTCCCTTTTTGCTCTCTGTCCAGATTGAACCCTACTGGTCAGTCCTCCAGTCCTTTGTATATATTCTTCCAGCTGCTGATTAAGTCAAAACTCTGGAACCTCCATTTGCCATCACATGACTCTAAAGTTGCATGCCTTCTTGTCACGTGGTTGTATCTCAGTGAGTCCTAAATTGTTGCCTTGGGATTAAAAGTATCTGCAATGCAGTCTCCACGCTGTGGGGGGTGGGGGTTGGACGTTACATACCTTTCATTTTCAACATGCCATATCTTTTTACACAACCAAACAACAGATGTTATAGAACTGTATACCCCCAACTAATGCTTTTTGCCTTATCAATAAACCTCTGCAAAGTGGATCATATGCACATATTGATTTTATGCACCATTAAGTGACCATTCGTTGACACATATACAACCAGTGCTGCACCAGCTACACTGGTTACCAATGAAGTATTGAGTCAGGTTCAAGGTTTTGGTATTGACTTTAAGGCCTTGAGGAGTCTGGAACCTGCGCATCTTCAAGACTGCCTCCTCTGGTATGTCCTGGGGAGACTGTTGTGCTCTGTGGGAAAAACCTACTGGTGATCCCTGGCCCCAAAGATATCCAGCTGATCTTGACCAGAGCCAGAATTGTTTATGCCCCCCCCCCCCAAATGAGTACAGTGGTGGTGAGCACATCATTATGTTTATTTACTTTATTATGTATTTATATTTTACAATTTATTTATCAGTTTTCTGCTTGAGACTCAAGGTGGATTACATGGCATAAAACAATGTAACCTAATAGCACGAGAGACCTAATAAAGAATAAAATCTCCCAGAATTACAACTGATCACCAGATGAGAGAGATCACTTCCCCTGGAGATAATGGCTACTTCACAGTATAGACTCTATGGTATTATACCTTATTAATGTCCCTCCCCCACCTTCCCCAGACTCCATCCTCCAGATGTCCAGGAATTGCCCAACATGGAGTTGGCAACCCTAGCAGGCATGTGTATACACACTCTTCCTTTGCAGCTACAGCCTGCCTGGCATGCAGGGGAAGGGTGGTTTTTTTGCTTCATGCATAGGGGAAGGGGAGCTGTGGAGGCTCCCCTGTATGGATATAGAGAGTGATTCCCTTCTCCCCTGCTGAGAACAGTTGAAAGAGAAGACAAAATTTTTTGCTAGCAACAATTTTACAGTCATTTAAAAATGTTCGGATACCTTCAATCCACTGTGGGCTTGTGGTGCAGAGCTCTTCCTCCCTCAAGTGTTTTCAAGAGCTCAAATATCTCTGTGGGAACACGCACACACTGTAAAATGGTCATGAGTCTGCTTGTGAAAGGCAGAATGCAGAGGCTGCTGCTGCCACCCACCCCCTCTGATCCCAACCACCTTTGAACACTCCCCACCTGGGCTAAAATAGAATCCCCCCCTCAAAAAAAGCTGCTGCCTTATTTGTTACAGTGCTGCTGATCAGGGAGTCCATGACTGGCCCAAGCTAGCAAGAAGGCGCAAAAGGGACTGTGTCACATGCTTCAGAGCACAGCAGGAACAACTACTTTGTGCAGGAAGAAAAGAGCAAAGATAAAGCTGGGGAGGGAGCAGGGAAGAGGGAAGGAGAATCTCTCCCTCACTGGCAAAGCCTGGGAAGGAAGTGGGAGGAGGAAAGGAGACACCCTCTCTCATTGACAGAGGACTTGTGACAGATTCCACACCAATCCCTAGTGCTGATCGGAGGGGCATGACAAATTATTGGTGGGGCCCACTCCTTTGTGCACCACTGTAGCTATGAGCCTGTTTATACCCCCCCTTTCTTCCTAACAGGGATCTTAAGTGGCTTACATTGTTCTCTTCTCCCCCGTTTCATTCTCATAACAACCCGGTGAGATAGGTTGTTGAAACTGTGTGACTGGTGCAAGATTACTGAGCAAGCCTCCATGGCAACTGGGGATTCAGTGGGCTAGAAATAGTATAGCCGTGTTTAGGATGGTGCTGCTCAGGGGTCATTTCGTAGAAAAAGAGCTAGGGGGACTCATTAGCATAACTCATTAGCATATGCCACACCCCCTGACATCACCGGAAGTGTGTCCTCCCCACAGCCGGCGGCGACCTCCAGCGGGCACCAGCAGGGAGCTCCAGGCCCCGCCCTCCCGCACCTCACCCGGGGGGGATGGCGTCCCCCCGCGTCCCCCCCCCCAAATGACCCCTGGTGCTGCTAAATTTTTGCATACAAAAATTTAATGCTTTTAAAAGTGTTTAAAGCCTTGGTCCTTTATTTTTATCTTAAAATGTCAAAATCAGAAAAAAAAATTAATCCCAGATGGAACGTTGTTGCTAAGAAATGCACTGCTTTTTCTTGACAGAGTCCGAGGACATTGTAATCACAGTCACTGCCCTTTTAGCCAGCTTGAACAGTTGTTGTAATCCATGGATCTACATGTTCTTTAGTGGGCACCTTCTGCAAGACTTCATTCAGAGTTTTCCATGCTGTCAAAAACTAAAACAAACACTGAACAAAGAAGATTCTGAGAGCATCAGCAGGCGACAAACTTCTTTCACCAATAACAGAAGTCCAACAAACAGTTTGGAAACGTGGAGAGCATCTCCAAATTCATCAGAGTCTATCAAATTCATCCCTATTTCTTCCTGAGCCATGTATACAAAACTGATGGCCGTAGAGTGCCGGATCAGCACTTTAGCACTTTATCTGATCACAGCTACCAGTTATTGTACAGTAGATGTACTAAGAAGATTAACAGAAAAATTGAAGTTTATTACTTATGTCTATGATAATTTCGCATTGATGTAAATTAGTGTTGTGTATTCAGTGCAGTGAAAAAATGACACACGTAATATTTTTCTAAAATAAGACCGTTTATATGTAGTTTCTTTGCTTTCAGCACGTTATGCAGCAGGTAAGATTAAATACAGATGCTACCTAAACATAGTAAGGATGTTGGTTCAGACCTCTCTTGGAATACAGCCCTGTGTACATTTTCTATAAAATCAGTGAGGGTGACATGAAATTTATATAAGACATTGTGCCACTGCAAAATCCTACAGGTGAGTAGGATTTTTTCCAGCCAGCATCTCATTCAAATCAGGACTGTCATTATCATGAGCTTTTGTCACTGAGATTTAACTTTTTGTCTGTTATTGTTCTCAGAGAAAGGCCACTTGCACTTTAGCCCAAAAAGGATGCAAAGATCTTTCTTTTCTTCTGCCTCCTTATTTATTGACTTCATGTATACCCCATCTTTTCCCCCAATCGGGTTCCAAAACAGCTTACACTGTACTCCTTTATTTTGTCCTCATAAAAGCCCTGTAAGTTGAGGTTAGTCTGCGAGTGTGAGACTAGCCCAAGATCATTTAGCAAGCTCCCATGGCAGAGTAGGAATTCAAGCTGGAACCTGCCAGATCCTAGTCTGATACTCCAACCTTTACACCATACTAGCTGTCCTTCAGTTTTTTGATAGCTGCTGGTGAATTTGTTTTTCCAGCTGCTGATGGATTTGGGAATTTGGTGATTTCAACCCATTTCAGACATCCAGTCAAATTTATGGGCCTTTCCAGAGAGACCTCAATATTTCCTATGTCCTAGAAGTCTGGCATAGATGCTTTGGACTGGTGAGGCTTCTGTGCCATTGCTGAAGCCTGCCTTGATGACTCTTGTGTTAATGCAATTTCAACTATAGCAAGAGTTCTGGCACTTTATACAGGCCCCTTTCTTGTAGCTGCTCACCATTGCTGAATATAGACTATGAGTCTTTATGTACTGTTAGTTTTATTTGTGTTTTATTGGTTCCTATTATGCTTCTGTGTGCCACCCAAAGTAGAAAAAAAAAATCATATGATTTGCCTTTACAATAATTTCATGTTGCTTTCTTCTGTTTAGGCTCCCAGTTAGCGCCATCATAGGCTCTTTTCAGCACTACAACAGTCTATGTAATTTTCTCATATTTCTCACACGTAATTTTCTTATCTGCAGTAGCTCCCTACATTTATCTTCCCTGAATGGTTTCTTGCTGATTCCAAAATCTCAGTTTTGGTTTCATTAATTGTACAAGTATTGTTCATACAAGAATTATACATCTTGACTTTGTGGCATAATGGTGCCATTCAACTAGTTAACCAAAAGAAAATATGGTGAAACAATTTTCCAGATAACCATGCAGGTTTAAGACTACAACTCTGACATGTATGATATTTTCCTACCTTACAGCTACCAGAGAGTGCAGCATGAAACAAGCATGATGTTTCATGTACACAAGTGTTTCCCCAGTTTACCTGTCCTTCCTCTGCTACCAGAATATGTTGGAAAAATAGGCAAAAATACTTAAATACTCAGAGTTTGCAATGGATCTTTGCTTCACTGGAGAGGAGACATTTCTTTCTGTGTAAAAATCTTTATTTCTAAGGGAAGGGTTCACATGGAAAGCTACAAAACAAAAGAGATATCTAGACCTACATCTTTACATCCTTACAGCACAGAACACATGGTCACACACAATGTAGTTTCTTCTTCTTGTTGTACACAGTAGCCAATGATTGCTAGTAAACAGACTTAGATTTTCCCGGGCTATCTTCTCATTGGCTCTGAGCCAACTTTCCCTTCCAGGTCAGTCCAAACAATAGTACAGAAGGTAAAACAGATTAACCCTATAATGACTGGAATCTAGACCTTGCAAGTCACACATTTCCAACACTGTAAACATAATATAAATATATACACACACACACATCAAGCAACAATCAGCAATTATTTTTCCCCTTGTCAAACTTGACCTCTGAACTTTGATTAGCCTGCTACTAAGAGGTAAAGAAAATATTTGTATTATGTGCCTGAAATCTAAACTACTTGACCTATCAGATTCACATATATGTGTAATAAACACACACACAAATAAATTACATTTGCTTGTTGCTACACAATAAGTCAAAACTTATTGAAACTGTATATACTATACTTACCTGTCTGTCATAGGTAGAACAGAACATATGCAATATAATTTCTACAACATATGTTGAAAATCCTGTGCCATCAAGTTTCCTTAATAATAAATCATGAGAACTGGTATTAAGAATCCTTGGAGTAAGAATTCTTAAATGTTCTCCATAATCTCTTGAAAAAGAAAAGGAGATGAGTTTGAAAGAAAGTTTACCTTTTTAGTATTTCCTTTACAAGCATTCAGTTCATGGCCTCCCCCTATCATTTAAGTTTTTATGAGGAGTCCAAGTATTGTGATTCGTAGTAGCTATTCCTTTTAAGTTAAATTCTCAGCAAGCTTGAGTTCAAGGTTCCTGTCATGAAATACCCATTAAAAACCCCCCTGCAGTTTAGGGATTTATCCATCAACAGACTCCTGGACAAAATTAACTATCAGTATTATAGAAGATATATTATTATTACAACAGTTGTTTCAGTGGTCATCTATAAAGTAAAGACTGATCTTATGTTTAGGAGAATAATTTGATATAAGCCTTCCTAAATTAGTTCCCAAACAGAAAGCAGATGAGTGATGGAATGAATGAATGTGCCTTTCATCTAAGAACTTCACTGCCTGTGGACAGCTGATTAATCCCAAGGAAGAGGCTGAGTTCTGCATAAGAGGTATAATACAGTATTGGTCTATGACTGTGGAGAAGAGGGTTCGAATCTGTGTTCACCCATAAAGCTCTCTTCAAAAAAGTAAGTTTGTAGCTTGGGAATAGTGGAACTGGTTGGATGAGACAACTGGCAGGGGTTGGGCTGCCAGGTATGGCCTGGCAACCAGTGGGCATTGGGGGCAGGGACAGGGAGGGCCCTGTTGGCAACAGCATGATATCAGTCCTGGAGAAAAGCCAGAAGTTATATTAATTCCCTCTTAAGAATCATTAGAAACTAAGTGTATGCAAAACCACAAAGTTTCCACCAATTCCTAGAGAGGACTAACATCACTTCTGGGTATTTCTTGGAAGTGATTTCAAGCCATTGGCTCAACAACAATTTGTTTTTTGGTTTATTTTCCTCCTGCCACTTTAGGAAGAGAAGGTTGCTAGCAAGAGGTCTCCCACCATAGCAGAAGGCCTGGCAACCATGGGGATGGGCTCTTGCATGAGTATATGTCCACATGCATTTCACTTGAAAGCTTGAAAATGCTGGTTACACATGCTCAACTGATCAGCAGATGCTTGCAAAAATATGGGTAATTTTGAGTTCAGCATGATGGTATTTGTCCATTGTTACTTGCTTCAAATAGTTCACTGAGTTCCTACTTTAAAAAGGAGCCTGAGATCAAGATTCTTATATCAAGCATATGTGGGCATGTGCATGCAGACTTTTCATCTCGCTCTTATTCCTGATGCTAGCTTTGTTGTGTGAGCTATTGTGAGTATTGTAGTACCACTTTCCACTTTCTGAATGACACAGAAGTTACCCTGTTGCTACTTTGCCCTTGATATTACTGTTTATTTCTGAGAGGTCTATGAGGTTTATGAATGGCATGTGGGAAAAATGCTATGCAAATGCTGCAGAAGATGCACAACACTGCCATGGTCAAGTTCCCTTGATGGGAGTGGTCATGGTTAAAGATAAATGGCAAATAGTATAAAAATATGTTCAGAATCTTGGTCAAAATGCATCTATGAATCTGGGAATTTTCAAACTTTCTATTAAAGGTTATCGTCTGGTCTTTTTGTTAAGAAAATAAATTTAGGGCTGAACTAGACATGATGTTTGTCACATGTTCCTTGTGGGATCTGGTAGTCAACTGTCAGCTGCTGTTCCCTGTGCAGCACTTCTTCTAAACGTGCTGCAGAGCCCTGATTCTGTTTGGGCCCGTGGCCTAGTGGGGAGGAGGGGCTCCTACCTCCCTTCATGTCATAAGAACATAAGAGAAGCCAATGTTGGATCAAGTCAATGGCCCATCCAGTCCAACACTCTGTCACACACTGGCCAAAAATACCAGATGCCATCAGGAGGTCCACCTTCCCGCCCTTAATTTAAACCCATTTTTGCAAGTCCTTTTCATTTTCCCAACCTGAAATGGCATGAGGGGCATCATTTGTCCCATCTGATAGCTGCATACACTTTTAGAGGGAATTCTGTATGGGCACCTGCAGCTGCCTGCCAGCCTCCATGGAGAATACACAATGTCACATCTAGTTTGGTCCTTGTTTGGATATTTAAGTGCTTATTCCATACCAATAAAATCTAATTGGAAGAAGATTTTCAGAATAATGCAGTTGCATTTTCTTAACCAAAAAAATACTGTAAGTTAAATTTTCAGTGCAAATCAACCATTTCCCCTTGTGTTTACCGATGAGTAATAGCATTTTTTAACTTTCAGAATGTAATCTTGCTTGAATAAACTTTCAGTTTTGCTTGAAGCTTCCATAAAGTTACAGGTCTATTAGGTTTATGGGTTCCAGAAGAGAATAAAAAATAATTGGATGTAAAATTAAATGAATACAAAAAGTTCAGTTATCCACACTGCTTCTAAAAGGGGAATTTCTGATCCATCATCTGTAGAAACAGATATCAATTGGAATGGAGATGGGGCTCCATTTACTCCAAGGATAGGTGGGAGAATTTGGCAGTTAATTTATTCTCATTTCGTACACAACTTACGGAAATCTTCTGGATAATAAAGACGATCTTAAATCGCAGGA